ACAATGAGACTAATATTTCAAAATTTACTTCTGGCGTCTGGAGCACAACTTTTATTATATTGTTCAGTAATCTACCAAACGGGAAACTTTTTCTTCATTTCACAATGTGTGCAGTGGAGCTTTTAATCTCCAGTTCAACACCATGTCACGACAGTCTTGCTGCAGTGAGCCGTTTTAGAGGAGTATAAATATGAGACGGTCCCCGTCTGTGTGGAGTACAGTTGACAGTGTCAGGCCTCCAGTCCCTGGTGAATTATGCACGGAGGTATTCTGTCATTATCTGTGCTGGTGCAAACCTGCGCTATACAACCTATCATAATAACTATAATAGCTTGGTGATTTAGACATGTTTTCCGAGCTGAAACAGTGATACCAGCAGGTGCTGCTCATAGTGGGAACCCACATTTAATGCATGCATGTGCACACACACACACACACACACAGGATTAACTTGCATCTTGCATGCGGGCGCACTCGTGCACACTTGAGAGACATGCACAGTTGTCCCTGCGCAGGCCAATATTGCCGAGCTATTACGAGCGTTGTTGTGTACTCTGTATGGGCGCGGCCTTTCTGAAATAATTTTATGTTGTACGAAGGATCCATTTTGAAAGAAACGGGAGAAGTCGTCTGTTGAGGAAACTCACTGAGCGAGGAGTCCTTCTCTTGATCTACTGGGGACATTGAATCTTCGTGTGACGAATCAGGATTTCCATTATCTTCTTGGCGGTGTCTCAAAACAAAACGATCAATCTTCGCCGTGCTGTGTAAACATGGAAGATAACCGAGTCGGCCCATTGTGGTTGCACTTCTGCCGCTGCTAAAGAGTTCAAGCCGAACATCTGCATAACAAGAGCGCACAGGACTTGAAAGGCTGTGAAGGAGAAAGTTGAAACGGTTTTGTTTTTTTAAGAATACGTTTTTCTTTTTGTAGCAGCTGCCAGTAGTCGGGTTTTAAAAGTAAATTCAACACTTTGACGAGACAATTCTCTTCCAACCCGACTGTTGAACCGTCACTCAGCTGTCATTTCCACAAAAGTTTGTCCTTGGCCTTGTTGTGAGCACAATAGGCTTCTCTCTGAATAGAGTATCAGGGAGCTCGCACATGGGTGTGTACGTATGCACACACATCCAGAGACGCGTGCTGTATATACATACGCAGACGAAAAACACAACGCTTTCTCTTGACATATTTCGTGTCCTTTCTGAACACAAAGCCTATTTCAAATCTCTCTTATTCACACACACACCTACACACACATCGTCTCCACCTCACACATTATGAAAGCCAAATACTCTGCCTTGATTGGCAGATAACCGTTATAGTGTCAAACTGTCATGCTGACGATGATGAAGTACAAAACTGTTGTTATGACAACCACCACTGGGTAGATAACTGTCGACATAATAGACCTCCAAAAAGAAAGTGAGTGCTTCCCGAGGCAGCTCCAAGACTTAAAGTGAGTTTGCACAATGTTGCCTATCGATATCTTGGGTTTCTATCCCTGTAAAGAATCATGGGGGGAGTAGGGGGGGGGGGATTATGTCAAATGAAAGCTCATAAAGGTTTCAGAATAGTTATGTGGTTGTACAGCGTCAAATACTGTATAAAAGGATCGTTAAATGTCATTCCAATCTCTGAAAGTCTGCATCAAAAATATTATTATGTGTGCTTGAGATTTCTCTCGGCTTTTTTATTTGTACAGTTAGTGATGAATCAAGGGCGTATATTCAGAACATACTGTACATCCATGCGTGATTCATTCAAGTATGTCGTAAGCCAACAGCCATTCCTTTAATCCAATGCACCTATTATACAATTGAATAATGAATCCGCAATTAAGGTAATGTAATTTTGGACTTTTTACTTCCCCTAATGGTACTCCCTACTTTCACTCCCTCCCTTCATGTGTATTTGAATAATACGGGTACGGAACAATTCAGAGCTAACTAGTAGGTTTATAGCCTAATGGAAAAGACCGGAATGCTTTGTAATGACCCGTGTTTTTTTATCATTCAGGTTTATTTCATCTGTTATAAAAAGTAGCCTCTATTATAACAACAACAACAACCAGGATCGTGGTCTTTAAGGCTTGCGGAATAGAAATGCTTAAAGACACTTTGACTTGTTTGACCCGTTGCGTGTTCAAGCGCTTTCTATCGACGTGTGTGTGTGTGTGTGTGTGTGTGTGTGTGTGTGTGTGTGTGTGTGTGTAGTTCTAATCTGTGTGTGCATTAATATCTGTGTGGAAGTTCCAGCTGCATGCCTGACCTGTGTGTGTGCGCCTGTGTGTATTAATCTAGTGTCGTGTGAGGGCCGAGCGAGGAGCGTGCACACGCAGCCTCACTGACGGCCTCATCAGGACGGACGAGTGTTCTTTAGTGCCTCTGTCTATGAAGGGAGGCTACGGGAGGATTTGAGCGGGACCTTGTGTGGCAGCGTGAGACCCTTTTCGGAGGGATGCCCTCTGAGCTGGGGACCAATGAGTCATGGAGGATGTAGCTGCTGGGATTCCTGTCTGGATGGCGACATCCTTCAACCGTAAACACATACACAACGTGCTTAATGTTTGTTTTTTTATCGGCGTACTTACAATTTAAAGCACAACTGTAACTGCTTTTGTGCGGCTTCTTTGAAGCAAAATCTAATCAGCACAAGAGTAAATGTAACAGCGTGGTTTTAAACACAAGCACAAAACTGTACTGAAGTTGATCTCTAATTGGCAAACAAAAGTTATTCTGTCACCACAAGGCCGCCAATCCACCAGAGACTCTGGTTGTTTGTTTGTTTGTGTTTACTTCCTATTTTTGAAAGCAGTTACACTTTTGAGCATCCGCATTCCCGTGAGAGACAAACACACACGAGTTGGGACTATTTGAGCTAAACCATATTTATCTTGCAGTCTCCGTGTTTGTGGATGCAAAATAGGTTGTGTATTTCCCGGGGAGCGGTAGGGGACGCTGTCTGTTGATTCAAGCCGCGTGACAGTCGAGAGGGGAGCGGCGACTTGGAATCGTCTCTTTAACGCGGGATTGCCGCTAAACGAAAGGGGCCCCGGCGAGTGTGCAGCGCTGCAGAATGATGCCGTGCTTATTCAACCAGCTTTCTGCTGTCGCTCGGCTCCCTCACGCAAAGTCTTCCCCCCCCCCGTTTCCCTCGCTCATCAAGTACACTTTAGCAAGGTGACACAATGTTTTCCATCTCTTATCCTGTTTCCTGCAGGCACATGAAAGAACAACACTTCCTCCACCGACTTGTTATTATTGTCATTCTCCTGTACTGTTGTCTCTGCTGGTTTGTTTGTGTGCATGTCGATTCCAGTGTTACCCAGACTCTCTCTCTCTCTCTCTCTCTCTCTCTCTCTTGCTCTCTAGATATCTTTTCCACAAAAACATTAGTCCCATATTTGCAGTTATGCATATTTGGTATAAAAAAGTACGATACTAAATTTTAACAGCAAATGAAACTAACGGTAGCGTGACGATAGAGGCATATTATTGCTCCTTTTTCATGGAACAAGAATCAGAGACATTGCTAAATACAAACTGGTATTAAACGGCAGAGATCGATAACAGAGAACTTGCTTTCCCCTTGTTTGTGACTTTGTGAGTGTTTGTTTCACACAGCCCAGCAGCTTCCTCTCTTTTGTTTAAATCTAAACGCACATATGGAACCACTTTGTGACATTGGGTCAGTGGCTCTTTAAGGAGCGTCCCTCCGTTCAGTCCACACCAACTATGACCTCCGGTGAGGTCGTCACGCTTTGGAACCAGCTGTGGCGTCAAGCAGCACAGGCCTCGAGGTGCTGCAAGGACAGTAGCTGAATGAAGACGTATTCATCTATAAACTCGAGTACCAAAGTTGTCACCAAACGGCTGTGCTTCTAATTTCCTCCACGAGCTCCCACTTGCCTGTTTCCATTTTAGAGATTAACTACTCCATGCTTTTCAAGACACTGATGCTCCAAAACACAGGCAACTGTGTTTAAAGTCAAGACTTTTTCCGACAGTCAAGTCAATCTAGGAAACAGGTTTGGAACTTCTCTGGGAGACCATTGCGATCTCTACTAACAGGGCAAACAGACTCCTAAAAATGGGATAATGTGTTTATTCATTTGCATATACTCCAATGAGCTTATACTCACATGGAGGCACACAAGCACTTTAGACACAAATGAAACAATAACACCCAGGTGCACACAAGCAGGGACCCGCAACTAGAGAGTCAGGTCATCTAGAGTAGCAGACAAACGCAGACACGAGTCGACTAGTCCAGACAGCCTTGCTGGTGTGAATGAAATCAGGTGACGGAGTCTGTATGTATCGGTTAGTCGGTCTGTGTCTGCATTGATCACAGCAGGCGGCTCAATACTCATCTGTAGCTTTCTCCTCCTGCCTGTCTGATTCCTTCTATTTCCACTTTCTCTCCATTCAACCACCCGTCAATCAACGATCCGCTGAGAGCCGCGAAGAGCGCGCGGAAGAAGTCTTGTTTGCTGCGTGTCCGTGTGCATATATGCGCGTGTGTGTCTTTGTTTAGTGGTGAATTGTGTCTACAACACTATCCATCCATTAATGGACTCTAACAAAAGACCTCATGTTAGATTTGTAAAGTAAATTGTATAATGATTACATTTAAGAGGTAGTCTTTATTTTTGTATTCCTTAGTTGTTTGTTTTTAATACAGTGTTTAGACAGAATTATGTATAAACTAAATGGTTTCAAATTTCCTTTCAGTACATTTGATTTGTTATGTTTGCAGCGTGCGTTTGACATATTTTATAAATATTAAAATACTTATTTTCCCTTTTGAATATCTCACTTTGGAATGGCAGTACATTCGATGCAAATGAGCCACAGGATTCAACAGGTCATGTCTTTTTAAAATATATTTTACTACACTTCATATTTTGAAAGTGTTTTGGAAGCTATATCGCAGATCTGCTGCTTTTCCTGTATTGTTATTTTTGACATATTTTAACATTATCCTTCTTTTGCAGTTCAGCAGATGAGCAGTTTCGATGGAGAGCTCAAGGTAAAGTGTGCAAGTGTGTAAATGAATGTGCAACTACTCACCCGTGTTCATACTATGCAAAAGTTGCGAGGTCTGACTCCAAACCTTTTTGACTCCAAACGTTTTTGACAGATTTTATAGTCAGGGTTCATTTGCATGATTTCAAGATAACATGCATGCGCTCGGTGAAGTTAACTTAACAAAACTTAACTCATCTTCTGCTTACATCCACATCCTCTTCTCCCCTTCACAGCCGATGGACAAAAGGACATTGAGGACGAGCTGACAACTGGTTTGGAGTTGGTGGATTCCTGCATTCGCTCCCTTCAAGAATCAGGAATACTCGACAGTGGAGAACGTAAGTGCACTAATAAGCAGCATTGTTCTGTATGTGTTTGGCGGTAGTCAGTGGGGTATGAACTTAATTATATGAAGTGTCTATTTAGATTACAACAGTTAAAATCCATTCTGTGTTTTTGAGTTGACTCCGACTTGCTTAAACCTGCAAAGTGAAATTTCAGTTTTAAGAAAATAAGCATCTGAATCTATTCAGACTTTCATGCTTTCATGTGCAGTCAAGTCTGAAGAAGGATTTGATTCGTAGAGAGGGAATTAGACCTTGTTAACTGGATCAGAATTAAGGTCTACTGGCACAAGGAACAAACCTTTTACTGCCTCAAAAGGAATTCTTATTCTTAATTGTCGTGCACGGTCTTTAAAAAAGAGTGACGATGGGGACAATCTTAATAAAACCGACGCACGTGGTTGGTTTATCTATGGAAGGATTATTGTTTGTCAATTATTTTTGTTTTCCTAAAAGTAAATGAGAAAATGTGCTCTTATTAGTCCCGTAGGCCATTAGATATCTGGTCTAAGTGCAGCAATTCCCTGAGTTAATATTGAGTTCTCATTCACATTTTATTTCTACTTACAATAAGCAAGTTGAGTCATGGGAGGATTAGACATTATAGTTAGATTAAGTATTTAAAAATGCAAAGCATTTTCTTGCAGAGAAAGGGTGCAGCTGTAGTTTGCCATTGAGAGACTAATCTAAGTAAAGCTGACTCCAAAAACACAGACTTTGAGGCAACTTATTCACAACTACACGTGTTCCTCTTAAGGCAGATAAAAATGTCCCTCTTCGATATTTCCATCCTGTAGGCCTTGCATTGTGATATACCAATGGAAGCAGAGGTTGAGGGGCAGCCCGTGGATTGAATCTGCTAAATGTGCAAGGCATTGGTCTTGCAACACTGCGTTGCCATTTAACTTATTGCCTAGTGACCTTTTTGATAGTTAATATTGCTCTAACAGATGGCATTTCTACTTGAAGAGTGCACTCTCATATTATAAGACTGCGATACAACCCGGGAAGACATAAGGTTATTATCATGTTTGCAGATTCTGCTTTACCCGAGTCCAAATAAGTGCCCCATCATCGTGAGCGGACGTATTGTGCGTGCTCCACACCCAGCTGTTTTTCCCATTTCATGTGTGGGTGCAGATGAATTCAGTACAGCTATTTGGGTGTGTGTTTTTTTTCTCCTCAAAATGGTAGCAAGCGGTAAACGCACAGCATTGTGACGTGTGGCTTGGTTCGGTGGAATGGTTGCACAAAACGGGGAGGCTTTCTGCCTCCCGGTAATAGTAGTTGGTGAAGTGTCATAACGGAGCAGCACAAATGCATATAAATGACTCACAACCTCACAAAAAAGTTAATATTGTGAAACTAATGTACATCTCAAAGAACGTACCGTGACGCCTTGGTGTACTGTTCTTATCTTAAACCCTTTTGTATGTGTGCGGGACGTATGTGGGGACTCTATGAGACTCAAACAGGAACCGGTGCCAGTGTTTGTTTTTTTCCATATTATACACACATGCGCAAGCACGTCAGCTCCCTGATACAAAAACAATTTCCCGATCGACCCGGCCTGATGACCTTTGAGTCATAGGCGTCACACTTCACGTCACGCCTACCAACTCTGAAAACTGACGCACATGAGTGTTTTTTGTCAAGCTGCGCACACAAAAAGTAACAAACATCAAGGCCGAGGGATGATGAGTTCGGAAGCTCCCACTCACTCTGCGCAACTCAAAGTGCTGTTCAATAATTCATAAAAAGGAATGAATCAAGACGAGAGAAGACAAGTCTTTTGTGAGGGCAAGAAGCGGAGGAGTTGATCTCGGTTCTTTGGTTGGAGAGAGAGAGAGAGAGAGAGAGAGAGAAAGAGAGAGCAAACAGATAGGGGGGATGATATGATAGTGAGGGGGGCAGGGCTTTGTTATTTGGGGCGGGGGGGGGGCAAGCTAACAAGGCTGTGAGCTGTGGGGAGGACATTTATTGAAGACTTATAAAGACGTATTCATGACATTTACAAAACTAAAAAACATCTTAGTTTTGGCTTCCTAACTCTTTATAACTGTAACTAAACATATTGAAATGTGTAGTCAGAGGCAGAGGGTAAAAATAGCAGCTGGTTGAAACATGGATCCGCTGTAAACATGTCAAGGATCCAAATGTTCTTCAATAAAGCGGAAAAAAATACACAAACTCACGTACCGATAACTGTGTAACGGCTCAAATACGGCACTGGCTCTAAAAGTTTCCTTCTGGAAGGTGGTTCACACACTGCTTTACGATGCTCTTATTCACAATCAATATGGGCTTCATGTGCACAGCATGGGAGGGTTAACTACCTACTCCAGCTAATGAAATGAATGAGGCAATACTCAGAGCTGCAGAGCTTATCAAACAGCTAATGAAAGCCACATTCAGTGGTTCATTACTAACCAGGACTTTACCGTATCATAGAAAAGGAAAGTTTTGGTCAATAAGAAGTTATGAGGTGATCCATCTATTATAACCCTCTTTTTTCCCAGCCTTCCTCCTCCCATCCTCTCCCTGCTCCTTCTCCTCCTCCTTCTCCTCCTATTCTCTTTTTTTTCCTGTGTTTTCCCTCTGCTAATAAATTATGCATGCCATCTCCAACTCACGGAGTGCTGCACTGCTGCACTATCTGTTCTAAATTGCTGCTCTCTCTCTCTCTTCCCCATTTCACTTTTTGCCTCTCAATCGCTCCCCTCCGCCCCCTCTCTTTCTCCCCCTTAATCTCTCTCTACTCACTCGCTTGCTATCACTATATATGGACCGCACACACACACACACACACACACACACACACACACACACACACACACACACACACACACACACACACACACACGCACACAAACTAAACCACTGCCAACCACCCCCAACAACTGCCCAACCATACACAACTCTTGGGTCTCTCTCTATCGGTAGGACCGGCTCTTCTTTCCCAGAGTTCCTTGCAGCTTAACTCCACCCCGGAGGCTTCGCTCCAGTACTCTGCCAGCTACCATAGCAACCAGACCCTCGCCCATAGCGACAGCATCTCCGCAGCAACTTCTCAGCGCAGCGGGCAGGTTGGAGGAGCCGTGCACAGCTACAACCAGGTAGGGAAGATTGCTTTGCACGGATGATGGTGAGGACGCGTGTGAAGTGTTGACGTGTGTGAGGATGAAAAAGACAAGATATTCTAAAACGGTCCATTTGTGTCTGCTGTAAGGAAAACTTTACATTAAGAGCTTCTCCACCTAGACGCTTACTCTCTCATCAAATTTAAAATTGTTTGACATCACAGTTGGGTTCAGTTGATATTTCAGGCACGTATGCTAACAGAATCCCAATTTGTTGTCCCTATAACTGGCTTGTAAAGTAATCCGTAGCACATTTGTCTGAAGGTGAGACATGGAATTCCTCAAAGCTGTGTAGAGGGAAATCAGATGCTCATGGACTAAAAGCAGGTGATTAAATGCACACAGAGGAAATCAGATTAAGTGTCTTCTTTATAAAGACTTTGAGGACTAAAGCTTTAAACAAAGTCACTTATTAATCACAGCGGTGTGCTGATGAAGAGAGAAACCCCACCAAATTACCGTAAATTGTTTTCTTTATATTTCAATGGTCACACACGTACACAGATGCATACTTTAAAGAAGAGAAGCGCCGCTAAATTAATAAAGCATTTCATTTAAAACGTATTGCGAGTGTCTGGGGCAAATTGTCCATTAGTGCTAGAAGGTAAAATAAATATTTGAGGACAATATTTATAAACCCGATTATTATTTAACAAGCTCTCTGAGGAAACCTTTATTTGTATCTTAGCTAGAAGGTTGAAAACCTGTACAGGCATGCAGTGAGTTTTTTTTTTGGTTGTTGCTTTGTGGGTGTGAAAATCTGTTTTTGTGCATTTATTTATCATCATGTGGTGATCATGATGTCTTTTGAAAGAGAAAGGTGATATTTGTCTTCATTCATTGCACCGCTTCCCCCCCTTCCCCCTCCGCCTTAACAGTCCCAACAGTCTTTAAAGAGATGGTTTCCGAGAGAGATCCCATTCCTTCCCCTGATAGGTAACAAATACTTGAGGCAAACTCCGTAGATAGACAAACCGATGGAGGCATGTGCTGGAGATGGATGGGCAAAGGGAGCTTTTACGGTCCGTAGTCTGAATCCTGAATGATGTCTCGTCCTCTGTTCCCCTTGTATTGCAGTGTTCCCGTCCTCCTTTCTCTCCCCCCATCTTCCCTCTCTGTCCTTTCTGCTCACCATCTCTGTCTATGTGAGCATTAGCATGTATGTGTGTGTGTGTGTGTGTGTGTGTGTGTTTGTGTGTATCCTCCTCTCTGATGTTTTGGGCTTGTCAGTGTAATGGGGCCAGTCTTGTCAGCAGGGCTTGTTGCTCATGAATAGCTTCATACAAAGCCAGTGCCGACAGACAGGTGAAGTTCGAATGCACGTGCATTAAATGCCGGTATTTTGTTAGCGTGCTTGCAGTCATTTGCACATGCATGTGCAAAAAGGGGTGTTCATTGCACTCCATGTGTGTACAAAGGTCTGCACAAGTGACTGTTTCAGGGAGAGTGAGAGGGCTGCTGCCATACTGTAGGGGTATTTATAACCCTGAGAGGACCTGCTTTAATAATGCATGGATACATGGCACCTCAAACATCGCAGTGTTTTCCTGGAGGAGAAGAGAAGCTGAACTGCAAGATGATACAGAAGGGGATGGAGAAAGCGCTCTCCCTCTCACAGTCTGTCGGGCCTTATATTTATTAGCGAACAGACAACAAGTCATCTATACCCATCATTTATTTATTTGAATCGCCCATCCATCTGTTTATCTATTAATTCAATTGCTCACCTCCTCATCAGTCAGAAGTCCACTTCTGTCTCACTTTGCATCACGATGGCTGTAGCTATTAGTAGGGGTCTTAAAGTCAGTTTTGTGGGCTGCCTTTCATCAGCCTTAGATCTATTTCTTGGCTTCATAACTTACTAAGCTAACACAAGGGACTTATATAACGTATATAAAACACTTATACTGTCGCACAGTCTTCTGGATAGCAGCTCACATACAGTTTAATATTTCTCTCTGTTACATGACACGTTTAACTTGAAAAAAAAATCTTCCCATGTGCTCTCAAATAAACAGATCAAGTGATGGTGTTTAAACTGATGCCATTTGTGCAAATTAAGGTTATGACTGCTTTGCAAAACTCAAAACTTCCGTCTTAAGAAAGCAGAAAATTAGGCTGAGAGGATTTTATGGACTCAAATTGGCCAGTTTTTTTCCAGCAGTCAGTTATGCTATTTACATATATGTCATAAGTCTTGCTGACATTAGCTTTTCTCATTTCTAGAGGAAAGATGAAAACTAGAGAATACTATTTAGCTGGCTGCTGAGACGTTGGCGCTGAGCTGCGAGGCAGGATTGACAGCCGGGAGCTAAACTTCGCATCGCTTGAAAAGCTGAAAGTTGGACTCAACTGAACTGCTTCATGTAATGCTGTGAGCTAAACAGCAGCAGCCTGATAAATGGCGAGGATCTAAACTGCATTGTTGGCTCAACTTTCTATGAAGTGACAGCGGAAGTAGTAGCAAGACGGCGTTTTGCAACCAGAAGGAACAAATCAATCAAGTTTGATGCGTTCCATCAGCATCCGGATCAGAGTGTATTCACAGCTCACGGTTGAATGCTCCTTCACAACTGAATCAAGAACCTGTAAGGTGACATATAAAAACTACCGCAGCTTCCTTGTTTTACCAATTTTCTTCCCTCTCGGCCGTTGTCGGTGTCTCTCTGGTACGCTTTCCCGCCTCCATAAACGGCGTGTCAGGTTTTTGTGAAAGAGACCGCTAATCCACTCAGCCAAAGATAAATCAGTTTCCATGACCCCTCTGCAAACAAAGCCGCGCTGGAACCAAAAGGCCTGTTGTCTTCCGCAGACGCACTTTAGCTCCTCGCAAAGCTGGAAAACACAACCAGAAACCGCCGTTCAGAACGTAATTGGGAATGGTGTGCATGTGTGTGTTGTTTTATTTAACCGGGGGAAGGTTTGCTGAGCAGACATCTTTTTTTATAGAATAGCCTGCTCCAAGTTGTTGCGGTGTGTTTGTGTGTGTGTGTGTGTGTGTTTGTGTGTGTGTGTGTGGGTTGGCCTTTTGTGAGACATCGGTTAACGGATAATGTTTGTGGTCCTTTATATTTTGTGTTTGCATGTGTTTTTGACTTTGTCTCGCTCTTCAGATACGCTCTACGTATGCTTTAGGTTCTCTGTGAAGTAATGGAAAAGCTCCAAGGTGACTCAGGGACTGTGCTTGCATAATGTGGCCTTTGTGCAGCTGCAGCCATGTCAGGCTTGGGTGGTACACTAGAGAATTTTTGGGAAGGTCATGAATAAAGATGCTCCGTTCCTTATCGTATTATACGCATATGTGTGCCTGTGGTAGTCGGGAGTTTAGCTTTTTTGGACCAGCAATTGTCATTTTAGCGACAAGCCTCTCCCCTTTACAGCTTTGAGCATCAACATAAGGCTAAATGACAGTGGAGCACTGGCATATATGCTTCTCCCCGACTGCCTCTGGGTACTAAGGAGGGTACATTAGGATGGAGCGGCCTGTGATTTGGGGTATAAAAGGCTTCTCATGCTCAGTTTTCCTCACATCCTGACACAAAGAATTAATTGCTTTTATCAGTCATAACCGTAGGTAGCAGAACTGATTTCTTTCCGATCAGATTTCCTGATATACATTGTATTATATTAATAGCTTTTTAGATGTTACCATACCGAAAATCAATTGAAGTGATTTCTTAACAAATGTCTTTGTCGCTGTGTGATTTTTTTTTCAACAATTCAGTTATTTTAAGTCGTTGTGGATATTGTGTTTTACGAGATTACAGAGGATGAATAATAAGACATGTATGCACAATGACTCTGTCATCTTTCCCTCCACTTTGAGTGGGTGGTGCGACGAGGCATTATGAGAAATAATTTCAGTTCGCTGAGCTCTGAGGACTTCATTGCCTGCTTCTATGAGTCTGTTTGAATCCCCCTCTGATTTCTGTGGGGATTTTATTACCAGCTCCTCAAAGGCTTGACTGTACTCATTGTACATAAATAAAAAAGTTTTAATGGCCACTACCCTTATTCTTTTTATCCAGTTTTTCTTAACTTTCTTTCTCTTTTTCACTCCTCCCAACTTCTCCCTCCTCCACAAATCACTCCCTCTATTCATCCCCTGGTCCCTGTCACGACTCATCTCCCATCTCCTGCTTTGGGTTCCCCCCACACATCCTCAGGTGACCTCCAGCCGTGCCGCCCAGCAGCAACAGTCTCATTCTGGGGCAGGGTCAGGTAAGAACTCACCTCTCCTTTCTCCTTCACTTCCCTTCTCCTCTCTTTTTTTTCTCCCTCCATCGGGATGCATTTTACTTTAAGATGATGGAGTCTAACACAGCATGAAGCGCTGTGGCTACGCAGGGCTGACATTGGGAGACGCTGACAGACGTGCGCGAGGATTGGAACAAAAGAACTGGCCACTCGCAGAAGGTTTTTGAGAGCTTGCAGTATGTATAATTCTCTCTCATGGATAGGACTCCAGATGTGATGATTCTACCACAAAAGTCATTCGTCGATCTTTGGCCTGAGGCATCTACCAAGCGCACTTACGAATCACCCGATGATCAAAACATCTGTTTTTGGTCGATCCATGACGAGCACTGAAGTCCAGTAAAAAAGCAACACTCGATCAGACCCTTTTTCCCAATTCCTCCTGGTTTCTCCACCGTTGCCCATGTGATTGTTCCCCCCTGGTTCCTAGTCCACAAGAACCACTCTCTCCAGGAGTCTGACTGAAGCGAGCTTCATTACATTCCAACTCATTCCCCTGCTTTTACTCCCGTTTGTTAAGTTTTCTCTCCCTCGCCGTGTTCTCCAGGTATCTACTACTCCAGCTCCACCTTACCCGCCCAGCGCGTCAGCTCCCCTCTCTCTGGAGGAGCAGGAGGCTCGGGATCCGGTTCCCCGGGGAAGCTCCAGCGGCTGGGATCAGCCTCGGACACAGCGGGTTACTCCACCACTCAGCGCCTGCCTTCCTCCTCCTCCTCCTCCTCTCCCAGCAAGCAGTCTCCTGGTACTCGACTGGCCAAGTCGTACAGGTAGAGAGCGACCCCTGACTTTGATATTGATTTTGATGTTCATGTGTTAGGGCCTTATAGTGTTTGAAGGTGTGATTTGATTTAGTTTGATTTGAAGTAATCACTATTGCACATTCATTCATTGGTTTTACAGAAAAAATGAGAGATGAATAAACAATAAGCATTTGCGACTAAGTAGAGAAGAATGGAATGTCATTCTTTTTTTTATTGTAGAAATGATTTTTTTTCCAGCACCACGGTTGCTGTGACTACAGCAGGTGGGGGCGTGTCTCCCCTGAGGGTCGCATCTCCACCCAACTCAACAGCAGCAGGGGGAGGGGCCGGCTCGTCATCGTCCCCTCTTCACCAGGTACAGAATGTTACCTACTCAAGCATTTCCCGACTATAATAATAGTAATAATATAAGCGACTTAATATGCAGAGCACTTTTCCTACAAAATAAATTGCTAAAAGTGCTTTACAAAACAAATACAATCAAGTAAAACACAGGCAGAAAGTCTGTGAAATCAAGAAAAATCTAAATGAGCTAAAACGAAGAAAAAGATTTTTAAAATAAGAACTAGGATTCCATGAAATAGGCCCATTATTTCAATTGTCGTTTAAAAGACTTCACTGAGTCTACACCTTTCGCTTAATGTATTCCATAGTTTTGGGATCAAGCTGTGCTGCATTTATTTATTGTGTGTACAATTTGAACACCCTGCAGTTCTATAGAAGATACAAGTGCTCACAAAGGCTGCAAACAGGAGTCTGCCAAGTAGGCAAGTCCCAAAAGATTAAGAATAAAATAACCCTAAAATTTATTTATGCTTGCAGCCAATGGAGCGTAGCATTCAATTGACTTTCTTGGATAATCAGTAAAAGAGTATGGAATGAATATTTTTATTTGCACTTTCATTGTCATCCTCAGGTTTAAAATATACATCTGTGCATCAACCTTCCCAACTATGAAAATAGAAAAAAAAGATTCTGATGATCTTGAAGAAAAGGGAGAATATTAAAAGAAGGAGAGGACTGATACAGCTTCAGGAAAGGCACAATCCTGTAGTTACTACTAAGTAGCAGGAAAAAAAATCCACATTAATATTTCAGTATAAAGTAAATTTAAGTATAAAGTTTAGTATAGTATAAGTTTATATTGACATAAAATTTTTGTGTGTAATTAGTTTTCTTTGTGTCTTAGTTATGAGGATTTGTAACTATTTCTGCCCTAATAGAAGGCATACGATTGGAAAATAATGCAGAAAACATGCTGCAGGAGATGCTTGACTGAGAAGGTCACCGACTGGGCAGGGATTCAACCGTTGATTCACAGTTATAAACGGTTATCACCCTGGAGAAATAAGCTCCTCTTCCAGAGCGTAAAGCAGTGTTTAAAGATGCTATTTTATCCTTGAAAATATAAGGGGACTGCTTTCCCTAATTACTGCCATATGCTGGTGATCCGAGCTGGTGAGATATTCATTCTCACCTTTAATAGGGCCACATGGTTTAGAAATAACAACCAGTTGTTATTTAATTCATCTTATTCCATGATATTTATACCAGGAAGATAAGAGTGACTTCAAAAGTACAAACTATATACTCAGTCAGAGTACAATCAATGTAAAGAATGAGTCACGAAATATAAATGTCTCACACTTTTGAGAGCATTTTGAGGATTTTGTGTATGCACACATAACCTTCTCGCTTCTTCACCGCAGCAAATGACGAGATACGAATACGAAAATGTTGATATTTCATATGGACAGTTCCTATGGACAATATCCACTCATGTGCGTTAGGGTTAGCATGTTCTTGTGTTGTGATATTACTAATTAAAGCCAAGCGGGCTGGCCGTTGAATTGAAAATTATTTCATTTTAATGACAAAGAATGTAACCTTCAAGTACCAACTTATTTAACCCCAGAGTGTAAGGTAAATAAGTTGGTTGCTTGTGTTTTATTTCCCCCACTGTAGCGTCATGAAAGTCATTTTCTCTCGCTATCTGGACCACGCAAATCAAAACAAATCAGCTTTTACACATTTAGCTGCCAAAACATTGTAATCTTTCACCTATTTCTAATTACAAATCAGTCTATTTGTAATATTCGAAAGAACCCACAAAATGAATCTCTTTGCAGATGAGTTCGGGCATAGGGAGCTATGCCACTCTGTCTCCCAAGCGACTGGCAGCTCATCACGCTTCTGACCAGTACAAGATCGCCCACGAGCTCTACGCCACCGCGACCCTCCAGAGGCCGGGCAGCCTGGCAGGTGGGAGTTTGCGCACTCACGCACTCTGACATCCGCATGCACGTTCCAATACGTCCCGCAGCCGTCCTAAAAAAAAAAAAACAGAGGCCTACAGTCAAGTGTGAGGAATCAGTCAATCTTTTGACAGGCAACGTGTTCTCATCTATACGTCACAGCACGTGTACATAATTCACGAGGGGCCCGCTGAGTCTCGTCGCGGCTTCCACCTAATAAATAACAACTTCAAAAATAAATGCACCGTTGTTCTGCAGTTCCATGCGTGTACGTCTGAGCTGCGCATGTACAGGTCTATTGTGAATACCAGGGAGAGACCTGCTTTAAGAAGATTAAAGTGATGCTGATTCTAATTGTGTTGTCTAATAAGATCTATTTACTAGGAGCTGAATGTATTAGGATGACACTGGTGTGTCACAACAAGCAGCAACATACTTGTATTTGCCCCTGCAGCTGCATTGACAAGTTAATTGCTTTCTCTCTTGACTGCAAAATTGAGTTGGCTGAATATCAAAGTGAAAATGAAACCGTTTTGTGGAAACCTTTAATGGTCCACCGTGTACAATTTTACTTGAGGTTCAATGTTTGTGCCTGTTTAAATGAAATATGATCGATAACCCGTCGTTCCAGAGGCTTCTAAAGGGTTCTCACTGCAAGTGCCATTCAGAGTAGTGGAGTCGTTCTAGATATCCTCATTCACAATCACAAAGTAATCATGTAGATGGAGAAAAAAACTTGTCCCTGTTATACTTTGAGGGGTTTTAGCAATATTTGGAATTGGCAATTTTATTTTGTCTTTTTATTTATTTGTTTGGGGAATCTGTGAGCTTAGTGTAGTGACAATCGTCTTCGTTTTGACGCCTCTGTTGCTGCATCTTTTGCTACAGGTTTTTAAAATCTTTTTTTAGTTGGAGTGTTTTCAATATTTCATATGACTTGATATTTTGACGATATTAATCCTGATTTAACCAGGTAGCAATGTTTTGAAGCTCTGGCCGTAAATGAAATGATCGGCCCTTTAACTTTGAGCTATATTGATGAAGAACACGACCTTCATGCATTACCCTGAGGGCGTTACTCTGATCTTGAAGCAGCGCCTGTGGTTTCCTCTCTTCCAAAGAATTTAAATGAAGATGAAGGAAAAAGACGAGGATGAACAGGAACAAGTAGTAACGGAAAATATATTCTGTATTGTAAATATTTTACAGAATGAAACGTCATGGGAGGGCATCTGTCTATATCTCCTCTACATCATTCTATCTTCTCTTTTTAAAGTTCACTCTCGCTTTGAAAGAAAGAGGTCAGCGAATCCACGAGTGGACCCTTGTGAGTTAAAAAAAATAAATGAATAAAGAACTGAAACTGACTCCCCAAGACTTCAAAGATGAAAGGGATGAAGGAAGAGAGAGAGCGGGGATGAGTCGTGTGCTTAATGGGTGTGTCCATAACTCTAATTAGAGCTCCTTCATGAATATGCTGACCGTCTCTGCCTCCTTCGTGTTTAGGTTTCCTATCCCTCTCCGTCTCAAAACTCTGATTTCAAATTGAGCTCAATGGGTTTCGTAGGATCCAAAATCTCCGTAATTTTATCTCCTTTTTCTCACTTGCTTATTCCGACTGTCGCCGGCGTTTGGTTTGCCTTCTCCGCTGCTGGCTGGCAGAGTGTGACAGTCGACAACCTGTCTTTTCATTAGCGAGCAGGTAAACCGCCGAGTGTGTTAACCTCCCTGCTGAAAGGAGGACTCAGCACTCATAACGCAGTGGCCCTCTTCGCCGCGCTCATGTTCGGAAAAAAAAGGCATAATGAGGCCCAGCGCTGCTTCATCTTTTTCCAAAGTATTGGAAGTGGAGGCCCATCGTGGGCTGTTCGATAAAAGAGGGTTTAGTGTAACACATTCCTGCTGTGTGTCGGCGTCCCGGTATTCGCTGCTCATTATTAAAATACTCTCTTGGACTTCATCTCGAGTTCAGACGCAGATCCTGAGCTGCATCCAAAACTAGAGCATGGCGACACGGCGCTTTAAGCGCCTCACGTGCTTTGCTCTCTGATATGATCCGAAGGCTTGGCGAGGTTGAGTCGATGGTCTGAAGCGTCCGAGTGTCGAAGCTCTGCTCTCATGTCTCTCCCTTCACTGGGGGAAAAAAGGGTCTCGGCACGTGACTTTGCCATCGATTGACGGCTAATGCGATATGATGCAATGTTAGCTTCGGTGGAAGATCTCTCCCTCCCTCTCAGCCATAGCTGTGTGAGCACATCCTTTCCCCGCTGCGTCAGCCAGTCCCCTGCTAACTCGTTGTCCCAGTCCCCTCCTCTTCTTCACCTCCCTAATTTTAATTCAGCTCTGTGTTTTCAAACGGGAGGCTTTACAAGTGTTCTGCTGGCTTATGAACAAACGCCTGCTGTCAATGTCTTCCTTGCCCTCTGTCTGTAGGACTCCTGCCAGACATGGTGAAGACGGGTGGGGTGGGGGGCACTACATCTCATTGTTTTATAGCTGACCATCAGCAATGTGTTCCTCGGAGATTGAAAAATGAATTACAAAGGCATCCCCCTTCTCCTTGATCTCATTTCTCTGCCTCTTATCGGCCTATTTATTCTCATCTCATGTGTTCCTGTGTGTAATTTTTCATTACTTCAACTTGGTGCGTCACTAAGTCAACGCTTGTCCCACCCCTAATAGACACAGCAGTAACACACACACACACACACACACACTCTATATACCGTGTTTTTTCTACCCTCTTCATACCCCGTCTTGCCTTTAGCCTCTTTTCTTTCATCCTCTCTACCTGTCCTCCTTACATCGTTCTTTTCATCTCTCTTTCCTCAAGGCTCTCGTGGCTCCCACAGTAGTCAGCACAGTCAGGAGCCCCTCCGGCCTTTGGGGTCCCCAGACCACCATATCGATCCCATATATGAAGAGCGTGTGTACCACAACAAGGGCCCCATGAGGAGCCTGAGCCAGAGCCAGGGGCCGGACACAGGCCCGTACCGCAACAACACCGGTAAGGCTGACCCTGCATTTGAATTATTATATCGGCAATTCATTTCACTCACTTCACTGTAATTTCCTTTTTTTTTTAAGGCTAAAATGTATCCTACAAATTCTCAGTCGTAAAAGTTAAAGGTGTATACTCCTGACCTGCGCTGGAAACCCCTTTCCCTGTACTACTGCTGAAAGAAAAACAAGGTCTGACTTATTAGACAAACTTGTTCTAAGGAGGCAAATTATGTTCGTCATAGTCACAACGCATGCATTCGTGTTATTTCAACAACAGACATTAATGGCGTGTTTCCACCGAGCGGTACGGTACGGGTCGGGTCGGTACCCTTTTATTTGTGTCTCCACTGCCAAAAGTTGAGAACGGTACCAAAAATCCGAATTGTACCGTACCACTTATTGGGAACCCTTCCGTTGGGGTACCTGGCTCCAGTTGTTTGGTACTAAAGGGTGGAGCTAAACTCACTGCAGAACGTTGGTTGGTTGAAAGAGTGTCGTCATTTGCACGTGCCGCACGGGGAAAGACAACACGCGTAACACACTTGCAGCGTGTAGCCTTTGCTCAAACAAAGATTGTCGTCTCCTTGTGACAAACAGCCACATATTGAGAAGCAAGAACAGGATCGGCTGTCTGTCCTCCATTGTTGTTTGCGGTTAGCTTTCAGTTTTCGCGCGATCGAATGACGTCAATCTACTTTCCGTCATATACCACGCCTATCAAGTGACGTTATCACTACTTTCTGGAATACACCACGCGTATAAAGTAAGGGTACTGTTGGCGGTGGAAACGCTCGCCAAATCATGGTTAACAGACCCGACCCGTACCGTACCGCTCGGTGGAAACGCGCCATAAGACACTTTTCTCCCCACATGGGTTGAATGGGGCATTTGATTTATTCTTGTTCTTCATGCTGTATAATTACTCATAGACATTTTTCAATAACTTCATCCAACCTTGGGACAAATAGGGAAAGTACATAAAAGAAAATAGAGCTATCAACAACATATTTGTTGGGCTTTTTTGAAAGTAACTCAGTCACACACACTCATTCACACCCGCTCTTCCCTTAACTCCTTTGTTGCCAGCAATGTGTTTTTAATAGGGCCTCATTGAGTTTATCTCAATGTGGGTTTAGGTAAACCTTGTTAATCCCATTAGCGTATCATACCCACGTGAAAACACCCAAGTCGGTCACGCCACGTTCACAGCCCCCTCCGTGTCGTTAAGCCCACAGCCTTAATAGCTATCATTAGCATTTGGGTCAGAATCACAGCAGTAAATATGTCAATAGACCAGCGTTTGAGTTGATCGGTTCGACTCACTTGAGTCAATGCCGACGAGACTTTGCCTTTAAAACGCGAGCCGTGGCTTTTGAAAGCTCATTTCGGTGCTTTGATGACTGTCGGTGAAATCGTGAACAATTGATACAGTCATAGGATTATCTTAGTGAGCAGGAATTAATTAAGTAACTGCTCTTCAGAAGTGCACAGCGAGGATCCACTGCTATAATCTTTAATTTACCGCGCCTTCTATTTGTAGTTTTGAATGATGGGTATGAGAAAGCCCACAAAGGGAATTTGTACTGCAGCTGCAAAAATCAATAGACTCTGGATTAGACTGTGTACATTTAATTGCAACGCTTGAGGTTCACAATAGGCTTCTCCTATGATACAGTATTTGAATTGTCCCATGTTGTTCAAACTAAATCCTCCGTCAGTTTATTTTCCCTCCTTGTGATCTTGGACCATGTAACTACCGTAGTAAATCCACACGCCGATGATGCGCCGCACCTTGAAGCCACCGGGCCACCGAATTAAGGCTCGGCTTTAAGCGCAGCATGTTTTCAAATTCATGTTAATAGTCTGTGTGTCTAATAAGGATTCATAAAAGCGCAGAGTATTGAACTGATAAGAGCGGTGCCGACATGGTGAGCGGTAAGTCATTAATTATGTCACAGTGCCTTTTCTTTGCAACGGCGGGCTCACTTATAGGTTCATTAAACTGGCATTGATCAATGTAATTAATGCTATAAGTCATTTCTGCCGTGGAACGTGAAAACAGATGCCTGCGCGTGTATTTCCCTCCTCTACAGAGTGTGTGTCTGTGTACGGCGCACAGTGTCAGGCTAATTCAAGGCCAATTTAAACAAGGCACTTGCAGTCAAATGAAGCTCACAGCGTTCATTGAGAGCGTGGGCCACCACGTTACTTAACTGGACACTTAACTATGAAGAGGAGCCGCGTGGTACAACAAAAGCCATTTAAGTGACTGTAATTGTTCACGTGCTGTTTTTGTTTTTTTATAGTTTTCACCCCCAGTTGAGGACAGAGAAACGGGGGGAAGTCAAGTCAAGTCATTTTATTTTGTATAGCCCAGAATCGCAAATTACAAATTTGCCTCAGAGGGCTTTACAGTCTGTACACATACAACATCCTCTGCCCCGAAACCCACCATCGGCACAGGAAAAACTCCCCAAAAAATGAAAAAACCCTTACAAGAGGGAAAAAAGGGAAGAAACCTTAGGGAGAACGTCAGAGGAGGGATCCCACTCCCGGGATGGACAGACTACAATGGATGCCATGTGTACAGAAGGAGCAGTGAATTGGTGCAGTGGTGTGAACATTGCTTTAAAAAATATTTAGCTATTTTACAGAAACTTCCCTCGGCGTTTTTATACCCACGCCGCATATTCCAGCCCAGCATCATATCCTCACTAAGAGTGTGTATCTGGATTTCTCTGCGCTATGCGTGTGTGTAGTCGGCGAGCGACGTTTCATTCTTGGATTAAACCAGGCCAGCGCCCCAGAGGACTGCAGGTTAATGTGGCCTATTTCAAGCGATTATTCCTGCATGGTCACAGCATCTCTAACACACACATCCACACACATTCATTGGGCTTCCAATGATAAATCAGAGCGTGAACAAGAGGAGAAGCCTCGGGATGCGGTTTACATATTTGTTTGACATGTCTGCTTTTGAAATGAGCCTGCAGATTAAGACGTCACTTTTGTATGTTTTTTCTTTTCTTTTGTTTCTTACATCCTAATGTTCCTGACATTAATACTCTTTAGTGACCTCATTCCTTCTGCTTCTTACCATTTTTTCCTACTTACAAATGTATTTCTACTCTTTTTTTCTTCGTCCTTTATTTCACTTTGTCTTCTTCATGCCCTTCTTCTCTCTTCTTCCTCCATCCTTTCCTCTGACCTTTCCTCCTTGCTTGCTCCCCTTTTGTTCCTCCCTTCCTGGCTGTTTTTTGCCTTTCTACCTTCCCTCCTTGTTTCATTAAAGCTATCTTAGTCCGTATTAATGACTCTGACCACTGGGAATGGCATGAGCTCTGAACGGATGTGGCACTTTTTCTCTTTAATGGCTCATCATCAGAGCGGCAGCTCCGGTAGCGGCTGAGAGATTGGGTGGATTCATTGCCAAGACTATTTGTCAGGTGCATCTAGTAGCCAGGCTGAGCTATTGCTGTTGATAAGGGCTGTTAACATTGTTCCCTCCAGTATCTTTGAAGGAGACGGACATAAATTCTTCAGCAACCATTAATCACTGGGCCATGGTAAAAAACAAGGATATGTTTTCTCAGCTATTAACAGAACTAGACATATATCATGCAAATGCATTTCACATATCACACATTTGGAAACAGTCCTCTGGTTTTGTTTGAGGGGGCAAACCTGCTAACCAGACAAACACGATTGACTGCAGGAATCAAAATCAAAAGTCTCTTCTTAGATATTCTAAACCATTCTTTCTATTTTCTATTTTGTGTCTGTGTACATTTCTAGCCTAATCTTTGATGTTGGGGCAAATGTTCTCGGTCTGAAGCACCTCGGTCTCTGCCATAGCCTTAAACGAGGATGGTTGCGGATTTTTTGCAGATGAATAATTACTCTCTTCAACATATCGTATTTTTTATTCTGTCTATTTTTGAAGGTTTCTGTTGATGCCATAAAGATCTAAAGAGACACACACTTTGTTAACATTAGGTTCCTGCAATTAAATCCATGCTTGTTCCCAAAAAAAGGGATCAATACACACCACAGAGGTGTGTGTGTGTGTGCGTGTTGTTTCTCAAAATCATAGCAGGATTGCTTTCACTAAAAATCGCAGCACTTTAGCACCGGATCTTATCACCAGTGTGAATGTGCACACATACAGCACACGTGCTCAGTAAAAAGGAGAAGATGAAACTTGAAAAGGGCTTTGCATCAAACCATTAAACCGATCTGCTTCCCGCTTTGAATCTGCTGTGTTCCTTCTGTAATGAGATCTGACATGCTAATGAGGGGAAGACAGAACAGAGCGCCCGACGGAGGAGGGAGAGAAAGAATCAAGCCCCAGAGAGAAGGTAAAGACGGAGAGGACGGAAGAGAGGACGCAGTTGTTGTCCTTCTTGTGACCAGTGGCCAGGAAAGAGCATGTCACGTATTGAATGGAGAAACTAATAAATCCTGGAAATGAACGAAACACATCTAATCATCGTCAGTTGGTCTATGCACATTCAATTTTGTGGATATAGTCTCAAAGATCTGCGTCTCAATCTCGTTTCTTTCTGCTTTGTGGTGAAAATCGCTTATTGGGTGTGTTACATGTTCAGTGAAATGTGAGGGCTCTCATTGGCAGGCAAATAGTGACTGACCAGACTTCGTTGAGACCATTACGTCGAATATTTCAACATTATTTGTACCTTTTTTTAAACACATACCAAGACGTACGGATACATGTGCATGCATTCATAGGCATTTAGAGACAAACCCTCATAAAATATAATTGTTGTTTCCAAAGGTTTTTCCAAAGTCCACGGTTGAAATAAGTGCAGAATGAGTAGCATGGGGAGTTGACTCAATAGACCTAAATCACCAGTTATTTCCCCGTTTGCAAAGAACTACAGGACCGTTGGACAGTTTCTTGAATGTGTCGCTCCCCACGCTGTGTCTGTCGCCGGGTCAGATATCATTTGTTTGGCCGGGATCAATTACAGCTTGGCCCATGATCCTGCTGATCTTTTGATGAACCCACTGGTGTTCAAGCACCATTAAAGACGTTATTTGCTCTCACTTACAAAGGGACGTTCTTCTCTGCTGCAGTCAGCTTTCTGATATAAGGACTAAACTGACAGGCAATGCAAGCAAATACTGGGCTTTTCCACTTGGTGCTGTGTTCGTGGACAACAGCCCAATTTAGTTTAATCCAGGTTTACTTACGTTGTGGCTTAAACTTGTGCAGTATTTGCAGTGAGGTTTTTTGCTGAAGCCTCAGAAAGCTTTAATTACCAGCTCAAAGCATCTGACTCGCTCCACACATCAGCACAAATTATTTCCCTTGCGAAAACATATGGCACCTTCTGAATGTAGGTTTAAGTGAAGTTGATGCTAGTGACCCCGTGTCCCCCGTCTCCCGGTGCGGAAAGCATTCACACAAGCTCGCACACATCCACACATTGTACTCGCGTCCCATGCCATCTTAGTTTACATTATTAGCATATTCTCTGTTTTATCAGCAGTAATGAATTCATTACTTGAGAAAGAAGTGTTCATTTGTGTTTTGTCCTCAGAGATCACACACCGATGCGCTGGAAGTCAGCACAAAATCACCAATGACTGTTATTATCAAATGGAAAACATTCATATCTGTTGTTCAAATTGGTTTTCATCAATAGATTCACAGTATATCCTTGCATACATTGGTGAATACAACCAAGGTTTTGATTTCTTTCTTCTATACTAAAAACTAACTCAAATGTAATCATTAGTAAGTCATGTTTCCGTCAAGTCTATCGCTCTTATCTTACTTGGGGTTATCTATACAGAAAGGCTCCCGTTTTAAAGTGTTTTGTTTTTTTCCAGCATAGTAGTCACAGCTATTGTCTTTATGCCTTAAATCAGTGTGAAAATCCTACCTGGTCACATTGCAAGTAGGATAAAGAGGCACGCAGACTTTCCTGGCAAAAGCGAAAAGTCACGATAACTTCTATTATAAACAAATTGATTCAAAGGTAAGAAAGAAACATACATAGCTTAATTGCTATGTTAGTTAGCTGAATTAGTTACACATATACAGTGTATGTATATCATTTCATACTGTAAATACTGTGTATACATCCTTTGGTTGTCCTTCAGCAGCATGAACACTTAGCAGCCGCTGGCCTGAGGCCCCTGCTGTGTCTAAGTGGCGTGGCCAGCGAAAGACACGGCACCTTGACTCATAGAGCCAAGTGTCTGACAGCTCCCACGCTGTCCAACGCTGGATACTGAAATTGCAAAATGGTGTTTGTGCGTGTGCCTGTGTGCATGTGTGTGTGTGTGTGTTCAAGTGTGTTCTCCAGTGCTTTCAGCTCAGGAACATCAAGAGCTGTGTGTTGGCCAGGAGGATCTCCCAGGGATAAACAGGGAGAAACGTAATCCTTGCTCTCCCCAACTTTCATGCAGCGTGTGTGTGTGTGTGTGTGTGTGTGTGTGTGTGTGCGTGCTTCACCCGTGGTTTCCGTAGGCAAGGTTGGCTGTTCATGCTGTTCTATTACCCTAAAGCATTAGAAAAAGATGTGTTACAGGCATGCCTATTTACTCCGTGGAAATCACTTGCGTATTCTAAAACTGTGTGTCTGTGCGTGCGCATGCGGGCGCGCGCGTGCGTGTGTGAGAGGGATAGGGACTGCGAGGGGTTTTGTGTAATCGTGCTGAGCGCTGAAGCGTGTCGAGAGAAAGGACATGTCCTCAGCTCTGATCACATAGTCTACTACAACCACAATGGAGGGAGAGAGATAGAGAGACGCAAGGGGGGAAGGTGAGGGAGGAGGGGAGGCAACAACAGCAAAAGGGGGGTTTGAAAGAGAAGGTCTCAGAGGGGACGGGGAAAGAGAAGACGGATGGAGGGGTATGTCAAGAGGGGGAACAGAAAGAGGAGAGAAGGGCGAGGGAGACGGAGGAGGATTGAAGGAAATGGAGGCGTGCGATGGAAGAATGAGAAGTATGAACATCGGCTGATTGGGGGGGTGATCGGGTTTGATCACCTTTTTTCTCTTCCCCGGGCTCCCCTTGTTTAAGGGGCTTTTTGTTAGCCGCCCCCCCCCCCCCCTTCAGCCGGCTGGCTAATTGCAGACGTATCAGTGTGTCAACAGCCATTTGTTTACTCTACTTCGAAGCGAGGGAATACAAAGACACACCCGCCCTCGTGTTTTCTTCTCCTGACACTATTTAACTCCACCAGAGCATTCGGTGGGAGAAGTGTTAGTGGAGCGTGTGTCCCTGCGCATTTCATGTATAAACGGCAAGGGGCTTCATGACATGTCTTTTAATTCATGAATGACACTGTCACTCTTATATAAACAGATGCTTTTCTGTGTTCTTTTCATGGACCTGAGCCCCAAATTCTAAACTGTTTTATAATATTTAAAGCTAAAGACTGATCTAAAACCGTAACTGTTTGCAATGCAATAAAAAAATCTTCACACATGCACAGGGAATAAATTCACCGTTACACAAATGTATGCATAAACAGGCACCCACTCGCTGGATTCTGCCTCGCCATATTGCCCCAGAGGGTGAAGTCACCGTCCTGAACACACCATTAACGGAGACAACGATCACCTCAGCAGCAGCAGAAGAAAGGGAGAACAGACATTAAGATTGTAGAAAGAAAGAAGAAATGCAAAAAGTGTTGTGCTGACGCTGAATACAAAGTGAAAACAAAATAAAAATGACTTAAACAGTCATTTAACATGTTGGGGGGGGGGTTCTTTTGTCTTCAGTCTCTCTCTGTTATTTGTAATTTATTGTTTTGTTCACGTTTTACAGCTTGCAACCAAAAGGATCCCTATTCAGTGCTTACAGCAAAGGCTATTAAAATAATTTGACACGCCATTTTTATGTTTTTCCTCTCTCCTCTTTTTACTCTTCTGCCTCCCCCTCTGTGGCTCAGGGGTTCATCCTATTCGGGTGTCAAGTGTCTCAGTGAGCGCACACTGACTCCAGTGGTGTTAGGCCCGAAGCCCCGGCTACTAATGAGACGTTCTGAAGGACAGACACCCCACAGACACCATGCAAAGAGCAAAGAAAAGACTGGGATTTGCTGCTGATTGGAGCAACTCTGCTTCATTACCCTCCTATGCCCTCGGTTCTATTCGGCTGTGTGTCCCTAACTTCACGGCATCTTGTTCCAAACCTTCCGCCCTTTGCTTTGGCTTCAGCTTCAACCCCCATTTCTCAGCTGATTTTTTTCTTGTCTTTCTGCGTCCCTGCCTGATCCTTTAGATCTTTAGGGCATCGACTGAAGAGCTCACACAGATTTTAGCCTCATGGGCTTTTCAAGGCAGAGCCTGGAAGTTACATTTTTTCAAAGTCTGGCTGGCTTTTTTTTTTTTTTTTTTTGTAACCTGATTATAGCGTCAAGAAAAAAAAGATATGCTAATGTTGTTGCATCATCCAAAGGGTTCCTTGTGCCTCTGGTGGGCCGACTAATGCGGTTTACTGGAGTCGGTGATGAGAATTTCAAAGAGAGCTTTGAACGACGATTGTTAAAGATGCAACAAATAGGTAGAAGGGATCAGACGTGTGTAAGAGGGTTGTGAAGGTCAAGCAAATACCACCACTCAAGACTCTGGTCACATAACAATGAGTCCTCATATTCACACAACCACCATCCTTTTGTTTTTGGTTGTTCGTAGAGGGACTTATATGGGAAATAATGTATTAATGTGCATGTACTTTTTTGCTGAGGCACCGAACACATGGCCACATATTGATTTGAAGGCTCCGTGATTAATCACATACCGTCTGAAGATGGTGTTTATGCAAGTTGCGTACATGCGTGTCATCCGTGTACACGTACAGCACCTTGGTTCTAATGACGGATGATGCCGTCTGTCTCAATGCTTCCACAGCCAAAGATACGAGGCCCCCAGACGACATACAATGAGCAAATCCCCATGTCATTTCAATCTCACTCTAAAGAGACATAGAGTGGTGTTTTGCTTTATTTTGTTGATGTATTTTTTTGTCTCCGGTTGAGGTTTTTGCAATCGTCCCCATGGTGCCTGAAAAGAGGCTTACGAGCGAGGTTGATGTTTTTCATTACATGGGAACGGCAGGCTAATGAGTCATTTGAGTGACAAAACTAACTTTTGAAACTAATGTTTTTCCGGGAGTAGAACTATTGCATTTTGCTCTTTCTGTTTGTTTAAACACATTTACAATAGAAGATATTAGTGAACTGTAATTTGTATTATTGGTTAAAAACAAAACTATTGTACGGTTTCCCAAAAATCCACAGAAAATAAATTGCTATTTTTTGTTGTATACGTTGTTTATGTTCACAAAATTCAAACTTTTGCTAAACAACTGTTGTCTACTTTTCTCTTTTCCTCTCTGCAATCAATCCCTCTGTTGAACATTGACCCTTGTCGTTAATCCGTGGCATGTGGCCGACATTTGTCCCCCCATATGATGATGCTCTTCCCAAAAACCTGTTCATCTCTGTCTCCGTTTCTGCTTCTCCTTTCCTCTCCTCTCTCTTCTTCTCTCATCTGCTGTGCTTCTCCCTTCGCTTTTCCATTTGTCCCTTCCTCTTCCTCCTCTGTCCCCTCCTCCCGCCCTGCAGACCTTACCCAGCGTGTCCATGACCAGATCCTAAGTTATGTCCTCTGTCCCTACTTTCCCGTCCTAGCTCCCTCTTCCCCCGGTGTCGACTCCGCCCCTTTGCAGCGTACAGCAAGTCATGGCACCGGGACAGGGAACTACAGCCGCGGCGGGACCAACAACTACGCCACGGTGGGACCGGGCTACACCTTGAGCGGAGGCAGCGGAGACGTGTATGGCTCGGACCCCTATGTGGCGGACCCCTATCGCACCCTGCAGTACTGCCCCTCAGTGGTGGAATCGCCCTACAGCAAGTCTGGACCAGCCCTGCCACCTGAAGGCAACCTGCAGCGCTCACCTTCCATCGACTCCATCCAGAAAGACCCCAGGTAGGGTGGAGAGTGGTATGTGTGTGTGTGTGTGTGTGTGTGTGTGTGTGTGTGTCTGTCTGTGTGTGTGTGTTTCATGGGGTTCACTGGACCACATAACGTGCACTTACATTCAATAGCTTGAGCCTCACGTTAACCTCAACTCTAACCGTTACACACAAAAGTCCTCCTGCACCAAGCGGTACAAGATAATAGCAATATATGTACTGTATACCGGTATGCATTGGAATAACTGTGATAGCAGCTACAGGTACAGGACCCACAGTACTCACCCAACCCCCACACGCCACACCAAGTTTCTTTAAAGGCTCTCTCTTAGACTGTTTCTCCTTGCACCGGAGGTAGAATGAAACACGATGCGGAAAGGCTGTTTTTTTATTGATATGTCCATGAGTTTAGAAGCTATCCAGACACCAGCACTCTGCACAGCAATTTAATAAATGGTCAAAGAGGTCCGAGTCCTTTGTTTTAGGAGAAAACTGCTACTCGGGCTTTACTTTGAACATCATTCACAACTTCCTCCATTTAACAAACTTTTTGACTTTTCACTTGAATATTCCAAGATGTCTTTGTGTGGCCAGTTCCTGATTAGTATTGACCCGATCGTCACTGTGATGCTTACGCAGTGGTGAGGTGCTCCACTCGTCTTTGGGGCTGGAATTGAAAGGCAGTGGCGGATTTAAGACATTTGGGGCCCAAGGCAAAGGCAGGCATGGGGCCCTCTGAAATGAGAAGATTTTGGTTCATCTGATCGATAGCCGCGTGGGTCTGTACTTTCTGCTATAGGTTGCGCCGAGCATCCATATATGCAATATGCTCAGCAGACTTTTCATGCTGTCTCAGGTGGGCTGAAATATTTTTCCAGTCATTAAACCCATCCTCACTCAGCTGATTGCTCCTTTCTCTGTTTCCAAATAGGCGGCAGCAAAAACAAATAACAGTCCTTCTTTTCACTGTAGACAAGCCAGGATCTGCATATCTGTTCTCCATTTTTCATCTGCATGTAGTTGCATGCTGGTAATTCTGTTCCCGTCTTCATTCCTCGGGAAGATCTTGTCCTTCACCTGAAGTGGTCCTCTCTCCACTATTGAGCAGCGTGCACTATCAGACAGCTGTTTTGGCCAGAGTGCTGGATCATTTTCTAGAAGTACAGTGGATGATGCTGGAGAGCTCTCACAGCCCATCCCTGTCTCATTCTGAAAGCAAATACAAAACACAGTATAAGGCTTTTACCTTTTTGGTGAAATGCACAGTATATTTACTAATGTAGACATTGTAGACTTCAATTTTGTCTGCTCTGCTGTATCTGACGTAAATGTTTGGTTTTCTTCCTTCTCCTCCTCTTTTCAGCACCGCTGGGGTAGCTTCGCTTCATCCATGTGATACTCTCCAGTTACGGTCTTTCGCCAATTCGCGCCGTTAGGTTTTCGTTTTGGCCGTTTCTTGGATCCGTTCTGCACATGCGCAGTAAAGATGGACTGATCCAATGTAGTGGACACTGAAGGGTGGGCCCCGACACACACATAATACGATACACATTCCGCTGGCATTTTAGCTAGAGAATTTTAACATAAATATAATTAATATGGGCAAATAAGTAATAACTTTATCAACCATAAATGTATGATGATTTTTACGCCGCTTGATGATTCACTATCGGAGATGAAAACTAAAAATAGCCCTCTAATTCATGTGTGGTGTAGAACCACTTGTAGTACTAATGTCAGTATTTGAGTAGCAGTAGTACTACTACAAGTACTAGTCATTGTAGTAGTAGTATTTGAAAGAGCAATACGTTTTTTTTTTAAAACAGCTTAATTCTGAGCTTCATAGTTGAGGTACAGATAGTCATTGAGGCTTTTTCTTTTTTTTGAGGCGAGTTGGAGTTGTTTCTCCTTCAAGAGAGAGAGAGGAAGGGACAGAAAAATGTTTGTATTTTTTAAAATTTTTATGTATTTACTAAACACAAACAAACAGGTATAATAAAATTTATAGGGGAAGGGTAAGGGACATGCGGCAGGGGAAGGGAAATGGGGAGGGGAAGGGAAGAAAGGGAGCGGGAGCGATGTCCTTTCAGGTGTCGGTTCGTCTACTGCACGGCTGCGTCAGGTTGCTCCACTGGTCGTCCAACGCTGTTCACCTGTGTGAGAAAAAGACAGAGAGACTTCAGCCTGTGTCTGAGTTGCCACGGGAACGTCACCCTATCATTGTCTCCCAAAATGAAGCATGAAGAGTGAATATTGTGTGATGAGGACCAACTACAAATATTTTTTGAACCAGATTCTGATGCTGCTCTCTCCTTTAGCTCTCCATCTCCACTTTAACTGGTGCCATACACACTCATGTCAATCTCAGAAACTGAAAAACTAATCTGTGATATTGGAAATTTTTGTGATTTTGTAGTTAAAGAGTAACAGTTGTAATAGCTGAAGATTTGAAGGAGGAGAAGCAGCTCAAAATATGCACGGAAATAGAAAGAAGAGAAAAATACCGCTTAGAAGAACAATACAACGGTTTAACATTTACTGGAATGCTTAAACAGCATTCAAACAAATATGAAATGGTCGAGAAGCCACACAAAACCCAGAGAATGTGACTACTATTTTGTGACACCTACCTTATCCTTAAGGTGAGTAACGAAACACCGTGTGTGTGATTTTTGCCCTGTGGATTATTTGCACCAACTGAGGGCGTTGGTGAACCAATTGAGGGCATTGGTGGTCGTTTCTGCTGTCTCTTGGAATAGCTGGTTTCCTCAATCCTTTAATAACGGGCAATGTTACTGAGTCATCCCACTTTGGCACAGATTTCTTTGGAATAGTTATCTGCTGTTGGCTACCTGTGCCTTTCTTCTGTGGAATTGGTGGAATCGGTGGTAAAACACTTGTTTGTGGTGTTGCTTGTACACGCGTAGTTGGGCGTCTAGAAGGGGGATTGACAGCTGGATCTTTAGGTGCTGACGTTTGGGGAATTGTCGGTAGACGTTTTTCTGGTGTCTTCTTGGCGTCATGAATGGTTCCTTTACTTTGCTTTTGACTTGTAGCTGGTAATAAACATGGTAGTCTTGTCTTGGGTATTATTTTTCTTTCTTCCTTTGGTTTTTCTGTTCTTGCTGGCGTTGGTTCACTGCGTTCTTTAGGTTTTTGGGGTGACACGCTGCTGGCATTTTCTGGCTTCCCCCTCGTGCCGATTGGTAGATTCTTCTTGGATTTTGGGGGATTGACAGCTGGATCTTTAGGTGCTGACGTTTGGGGAATTGTCGGTAGACGTTTTTCTGGTGTCTTCTTGGCGTCATGAATGGTTCCTTTACCTTGCTTTTGATTTGCAGCTGGTGGTAACCATGGTGGTCTTGTCTTGGGGATTATTTTTCTTTCTTCCTTTGGTCTTTCTGTTCTTGCTGGCGTTGGTTCACTGCGTTCTTTAGGTTTTTGTGGTAACACGCTGCTGGCATTTTGTGGCTTCCCCCTCGTGCCGATTGGTAGATTCTTCCTGGATTTCGGGGGCACATCTGCTGGAGCTTTAGGTGATAACTTTCGTGGTGTTGTTTTCTGTGTGTGTGTTTCCGGTGTCTTGTCGGCAACAGCAGGGGTAAAAGGTACAGGCTTCTTTTCTTTAACCCCAGTTGATGGTGCATGTTCATTGATTGCAGATTCCAAATCTGGGAAGAGAAAAACATTTTAGAAAAATAAAATTAGTACACAAGATTTAGCAATAACAATTTTCCAGCTCCAAGCCCTTAACTACATTACATTACAGGTCATTTAGCAGACGCTTTTATCCAAAGCGACTTACATTACACTTTAAAACAATGGCTTTTTCACATTTTTGCCCGGGGAGTAATTTGGGGTTAGGTGTCTTGCTCAGGGACACTTCATCATGGAACATTGGGCAGCCTGGACTCAAACTACTAACCTTGTGCTTCCCAGCACACCTTCTCTAACCCCTGCACCACGACGACCCCTACTACATGTCAGTACTTAGATACCAAGCCCGATCGGAGCAATTAAGAATAGCATCACATTTTTATGAATGACCTTTAAACCAAGGTTTATTTTCACTTTATGTTCCTCACTTTCTGAAATTTTCACATTCTATAAACAAAACATATGATTACCCAAACATCATGTTTTATATATTTAGACAGTATCTTACCACGAGTCTCTTGGAATCGAAAGCACATTTCCACTGGATTGCTTTCAGTTTTAGAGCCTCTTGTTTGGTTGAGCTCTGACGTATACGGCGCTAAAAAGTCTGGGATGTCGGCAGGATGTGCGGAGATTGTAGCTCTGGCCATACACTCGACCAAGCTTTTCAGTCCTTTCGGCGGCTGGCGGGCCATCTTTGAGTCTTTGAGAATCCCTCTGCAATGTAAAGTTGATGCGTTCACGCTGAGTGGGGATCCAAAATGAGCTCTGATAATCTATCCTTCCACATTCTACATTCTGTATGGAGAATTCTCTGTGATGTCATAGAATGTTCACATTCTGCTCCGTGTTCTATTGGTTGGAGCCCCTCTTTCTTCTTCTCAAACTGATGATTATAAAAGTAATATTTTCTTGAGAAAACAGTTGTAAACATGTGGTTAATGTTGTGACATGAAACTACGTTATTATGTTCAGACAACAGAACTACCTGATTGGGTTTAGGAAAAAATTATGGTTTGGGTTAAAATAATGAAATAACGTCCTAGCCATATATTTTGACATAAATATGCAGTCAAAAGTTTGGACACACTCACTTAATTAAATGGGAACATTTGTCCAAATCTTTGACTGGTATTGTATAAATATACTGTATACAGTATGTAGCATCTACTGCTGTTACTACGGTGACCACTACTACATTTATTTTGTATGACTGTTACTATTAGTAACAGTAATTGCAGTATTAAACTATGAAAATTATCATATGCTTATTTAGTAGGGGTGTAACGATTCACTCACTGAATCGATTAATCGATTTATATTCCTGCGATCCAACTGAATTGATCTGTGCTCCGCAAATCAGCATTCCGGATGACATATATCGATTACAAATTGATTGAAATGGTACATAATCGATTGTATCGATACTTGGAAACTGCACATTGGATTTAAGTACAAAAACGGCATGGATGTGTGTTTTTTTTTTTTTTTTAGCACTTTAGACTAGGGTGGCCTTTCGTCCGGCTTTTACGGGGCATTGAAAATGGCACTTCATTCAAATAAAAGGTTAATACATTTGCCTTTAATTGTTGTTTTCTTGTTCATAATATCCATAATTAATTTAAACCTTATTTCCTTACAAGAAACAACAGGGATCTCAGAAACTTTGCCTACTGGCCACTGGCCAGTAAAGTTACTGAATCCTTTTGATAAAATAACTAAAAAGGTCCGCCTTTTGACATATTACCTCATTGGTTTAATACGTATTGGCTAAAAATGTGTGTCAAAATAAGTAATGTGTGTCAAAATAAGTAATTTCATTGGTTACATTTTCGTGTGTTGACAACCAACTCTCCCAACCCCAAATCAGGGACACTTCGCGGGCTGACGGGGGGAGGGGTGCTAGCGGTCGGCGGCCGGGCTGTCTATCCTTTCGCAGTGTAAAAGGACAAACTACTACTGTATCTCACTGCTCATCTCTCACCTCACATGCTCCGCTCTGGCCCCGGCACCCGCGCGCTGTCAGAATGTCATACAACTCAGTCCTGTTCATGTTAATTAGCATCAAAAACATTATTAGACCTATGTAATCTGAATTGGAACGGCACGTTGTCATGAGCTGTATTTTATATATTTCTTAGTAGCTATGTGGTATGTGTATGCACCCTTGTGTAATCTGGTGGAAAAACATAGTACAATTTAAAACCGGATCATACTAAACAAATATCTGCTTGTGTGTCCCCGTATATGCAAAGTGTCCTTTTTGACGTGAAGGAAATGGCCACCCTACTTTGGACACGTTAAACGTTACTCGATTCGGTCTGCCTGTCTGTGACGTCATCAGTACGCAGCGGCAGCCGCGCGAAACTCGGCAGCAGCAGGTAACTCAGCTCTGCAGACGCCTCAGGCCTCGCCAGCACCAAACTCAACATCACAGTAACAATTTCCAAGTTTATCTGTAAAGACATGCGACCCTACAATGACGTTGAAAATCCGGGGTTCTGTGAATTGATCCAAACATTGTGTAATTATTGTGTAATGTTTACATTGAAAATGGCACTTCATTCAAATAAAAGGTTAATACATTTGCCATTGTTGTTTTCTTGTTTATAATATCCATAATTAATTTAAACCTGATTTCCTTACAAGAAACAACAGGGATCTCAGAAACTTTGCCTGCACTGTCCAGTAAAGTTACTGAATCGATTTCAAGTCACTGAATCGAATTGAAACGTTCTAAATTAACCCAGATCGTCCATGAATCGAATAGGCAACCATGAATCGTGATTCGAATCAAATCGTTGTTCAAATTAATCGTTACACCCCTATTATTTAGGTATTGGTGACATCATCGGCCAATTTGCAATTGCTATAACATATACATATTTCTCACTTTGTCCCTGATGTGGCATAATCAAGTTGTTAAATTCGTCGCTTTATTGAAACAAACTCATTAAGAGGGTTGTTGAAACTTCCTCTTGATTTATATGTCTCTGCGGTTATAAATATGGTAGGTAATCATTGGTTTGTTTATAGAATCTGAAAATTTCAGAAAGTGAGGAACATAAAATAAAAATAAACCTTAGTTTAAAGGTCATTGTTAAAAATGTGATGCTATTCTTAATTGCTCCGATAGTGCTCGGTATCTAAGTACTAACATGTAGTTAAGGGCTTGTACCTGGAAAATCGCCACTTTCCAAAACTTGTACTATACCTTCTGCTTTCGCTAACAATTTATGTGAGCAGATTTGCATTGGTCTCTATGGGCCGAGAGTAGGACTTGTCTCGCTCTGTGTTCAGTGGCCCAATCTAAACGTCTGTGTGATTCCATAGCCACATTACTATAACCAGCACAAGCACAATTCTTCATTGTTATTGTCAACCCCAATTTATCTGCCTTCCAGACTTCCGCGACGTAAACAGCAGAATTACCAAGAAATTCGCCCAGTTCATCAACTTGCTCCTATTCTACAGGCCCACTCAGTAGGTTGATGATGGTGGATGATGTCACATTGCGTCTATAATTAAGCCTGGGCAAACCTTTTTTTTTTTGCTGCGCTACACAGCTGATTTTTATTCGAGTATAGGCATCGCCCCCGATCACAATCGAGATAAAAAAAAATTAAATGAATGTACTAGAGTGTCACAAACAGTTGCTTTAGCAGCTCCATTTCGTCTCCCAGTGTCACGCTGTGTGTAAAGGAGTCCTACTGGGCTGTGATCACTTCCATCTTCTCCTCTAAGCAATTAAGCAAAGCTCACTTTTCGTACTTCATGTGTGTATATATATATATATATATATATATATATATATATATATATATTTCACAGGACTCTTGATATCCAATTCCTTTAATTACAGAGCGAGAGGGACTGAAACATGCGTGGATCAAGTCTCAGCAGCAGCTGTCAAACACAGGCGAGGGAGCTAGAGACAGAGAGAACGGGCGAGAGGGTCGGTGAAAGAGATGAGACAGAATAAGAGAGAGAATTATTTAAAAACAATAGGAAAGGAGGAGAGAGCACAGACAGATATACAATCCCCCTTAGTCAAGTCTTAGTCTTGTGAAGTTGTATGAAAAATTGGATAATCAGGGGATGATGGTTTATTATTAATGTAATCTGATTGACTGGCTCTCACAAGTTAACTCTCAAATAGTGTCCCACGTTTGTGAAGCATTCGCCGTTTGCGCAGTTGTTGTAACACACCAGCTGGTTTTGTGTCCAAAGCAACAGTACACAACAACCAAAATAACAAAAAATAGTTGTGTGTTGCATGCTCCCTGCAGAGTGTAATATGACGTTATTTAATTGAAGGTTAATCTTTATTATTTAACAATTTAAACTTTATTAGTAGGGGAGAAGGCTTTAGACTCATTATTAACTGTTCACTTACATTGATTTAGGCCAGCGATGATGAAGTCCGAGTCATTTACAGCAAAAGTGGATTAGAGAATGTAAGGATTAAAAATGAAATACCAATTTTGATTTTTGTATTGCAGTCCCTAAATCTATCCCTGTAAGCACGGCTACATTGTGCAGACTACAGCTTGAAAGGTAGACTTTGCCTGTACCCCTAAATGGGCTTATTGGTTAATATGGGACACTCATTGAGTTCACCATGTTTTTATTATTTTATTTAACCAGAAAGGTCCCATTGAGTTACAGTAGCTCTTCTTTCAGGGAAATTGAAGTGTCACCTAAAGTAGTTTAGATAAATAGATGGATGGATTCAGTAGATATAGATATTTACAATACATATCAATGGATACAGATACAGTACCAGTACAAAGTTTGTCTTATCCAATTCAATGAGAAAGTGTGGCCCAACCTTTGACGGGTACTAGATATAATCTTTTACCCTTACTATCATTGCATTTGAACTATGTGTTACATATATCTTTGCCATACGGCTAAATAGCCTCCTGCTCAAGCTCCTCTCTCGCTCTCTCTCTCTCGCTCTTGCTCTTATTGGACTTAGCTGAGCTTACATGAAGTGTGAAATGAATAAGCATCAATCAGATATAAAGAACACTCGTGAGTGAGGCCAAAGGTCTGTGTGTGTTCAGTGTGCGTTTATGAGACAACTGTATTTTTTCATAACTCGGCAGCTCACTCTACCTAACGTGTGTGTGTGTGTGTGTGTGTGTTTGTGTGTTTGTGTTTGCATGGCAGCTAGTAACACAGTTAGGGGCCATTACAGTTGCAGAGGAGTGAGCACGACAGAGCAGAGGGGTTGACAGCAACACAAAGGGGAAACTCAATAACTGCTAATGGATGGGTGTGAAGAGAGGGAGATAAGATAGATAAGGGGAGGGAGGTAAATGAGCACAGCAGAAGAAGGGAAATGGGAGGAGGGGAGAAAAGAGGCACCTGATGATGAGAGGATGATGGATGATGAATATCAAGAAGGAGAAAAGTAAATATGTAGAAGACAAAACGGGCAGGAGTGAGCAGAAGGCAGATTAAAGCACAGGTAGGTGTTACTCATCATTGTTTTTGTTTGTGTTTTCCTTTAATTAAGCTCATTTTGCAAAAAGAGATTCCCATCCCCACTAGGGTTCCTTCTTAAGTTGAATCTTA